TGATCATAAATAGGGAAATGACAATGGAAATATAAGCCTCCAGTTGCCTAATCTAACCTGTCATCTAGGTCTGTAAAATCAATATATTCTTCTCCCATTCCTATCTTCTCACTTTACAGAGGAAGCAGGACATCTTTGGCAGTGTGCATGTAAAGTTACAAGTGAGGCCCTTCACACTTTGTTATTTTCTCGTTAATCAGAATGATTTGGAGGCAAGTGGCAATCATATCCTAGGGAACAGCAGGAAAACCTCCACCAATTATTTTGCTTACTACCACCTACTTTTCCTTTTCTCCAGGAGAAAGAGCATTGGAATGACAGAAACAAATGTAAAGGTAACAATTATAATGGCGTTGGTTCAGAAGATTTTGTTTCTTTACCTGAGTTTAAGGAAAAAAATAAGGAATTTGGGACTGGAGAATTCTTCGTACAGTGTCAAATTACTTTTGCTCTGTGTCTAAAACATGCAGTATTTAGGACCAGCAGTTAGCGTGATGGCTGTGTCGCTGGACTCCCATGTAGTCAACCGCGGTTCAAGTCCTGGACCCGGTGGCTTAAACTCACGCCAGGTGCATGTACGTGTGTGCCCAAGATCCCGAGAGGAGAATGGAGGAGAGAGGACTGTGTTGTGGCCATCCCCTCTGGGGGTGATTTCTCGCTTTCTGTCTCTCTGTCTCTCTCTGTCTTTCCAGCAAGTGCACGCGCCCAATTAAAACAAAAACAAAAAAATCTCTCCAAAACAAAACAAAACAAAAAATATGCAGTATTCAAAGAAGACTTTCATTAACTGTTGAATGACATAAATGCTCTTAGAGCAGAACAGTGTCATGGGTGATCTCCCAAAGCAAAAAATCGTAATGTCATTTCCATTTACTTTACAGTTTATTTCTCTCCTAAATTAAGATTTCCATTGCCACTCCTAAACTTATTCAACAATTGTAAGAAAACTAGGCACAAAGAAGATATTATTTGGCATGAAGAAACCACACCAGGGTCAGAAAACTGAATAGTACACAAATCAAGGTTTAATGTGTATTCCTTCTAGAGCCTTGCTTCAGAGTCTTATGGAAAGGAAGCAAAGAATGGGGGGGGGGGGGAGGGACTAAGGTAGGAATAACCAAAAAGGAGGTGCCCAGAGCAGTGGAGATTTTGGAAGGATGAGCAAGAGGGTGCAATAAAATTGTACCTTATTTTCCATTTTCCATAAACAATCTTGTTTTAAGAACTAGAGAATAAGTTTATAATGGGAAGAACAAAGAATGGGAGAACAGTAGATCTGTTGTATTTGAGTGAATTTTTTTAACCTTAAGATACTGTTTATTTCACATGTACTGTTTATTTCTCATGTATATTTTTGTCTCCCCACCATTTCTTTGTCTGACCACCACTACTACTGTTTCCTATCATAACATTCCAAGCAGAGGGTGGAATTCCATTTTTTTAAAAAAAAATAATTATTTTATTTAACTTTATTTATTTTTACTTATTTTAATTTGACCAGAGAGAGACAGAGCAAGTGCAAGAGAGCAAGAGAGAGAGAAAGAGGAAAAGTGAGAAAGCAAGCCTCAGGGTCTAGGGCTCAAACTGTGGTTGGCCATGTGAGAGTCCAGTGCCCTTAAATACCATGCCACCTGCCAGCCCCAGAATCCCATCTTTAAAAACTAAACAGGTGAGGCCAGCAGTGATATGGTAGTTGAGGCACTGAACTCCCACATGGCCAACCGTGGTTCAAGTCCCAGACCTGATGGCTTGCTTTCTCTTTGGTCAAATTAAATAATAATGATAATGATAATAAATAGAATTAAACGATTCTTAAAAAAAACTAAACAGGCATTTTGGACAACACATTCTTGGCAATAGAATCTGGACAACAGTTCTCAAACATGGTAGGGAAAATTCTTACTCTTCATTATAAAAAGAATAAGCCAGATATCAATTGTTAAGGAAATAAGACAGGTAATTTTAACAAACTGTTTAAACTAGTTTCTTAAAGAGACTTCCTCCACTCCCAGAGATTTTGAATAGCCTCCTGGTCAATCATCTGGAAGCAATTCTTCATGTAATTGGTGAACTTGGCATTGGCTTTGACAAGGGAACCACTTTTTTCTATACTTGTTTGCTTTAATGTCTTCTTCATAACTAGATCCTTTTGGTGTTTTAAGGTTTTTCTTTTTTTCCTGTTTTTTGAACAATTCTTGACCTTTTGATTTTGGTGTTGATGGTTTTGAGTCTTTTCCATTCTGATTTGACTTCTGTATGTTTTTGTCAGGAGTGTCTTGTATAGATTTCTTCCCTGGAGATTTTTCTTCTGTTTCTGCATCTTCAAAGTTATTATCATCTTCATCATCTTTATCTTTGTCGTCATCTTCGTCAGCAGCAAGTTTTACTTTTTTCTGTGGATCCTTGCTACCACCTCCAGGGGCAGATCACTTTCTAGATATACTAAGAGTTTCACATCTTCCTCCTCTGACTCTGCATCTTTCTCCACAGCTAAGTACTGTCCAATAATATGCACAGGCCCTGAACCGGTGGCGTTATTTCAAAGCTCCCACGGGCTTTTCAGGCATTTTAGACATTTTCAGTGTTGCCAGAGTTATTTTGATTTAATTGGACTGGCTTCATAATTCATTGCCTCTGCTTCAACAATGTGCAATTCATCCTTTGTATCAGTCCCTAAACTGACCAGTCTTGTAGATAATTGGTGTTCATTTTCATCATTATCCACCTTAAAGTCATCATTTTTGTTGGCCATTAGTCCATAACTGAAAAGATAGTTCAGGGGCCCCAGGGCGCTTACATCCATGCTACCTTCCATTAGGTGGTGACACTCACTTAGGCAGGAGAGTAGGTAAACAGAAATAAACACAGCACCAGAGAATAGCCACAATGACTTCAGGGTTAAGTGAACTTTTAACTTGGTATACAGTATAAAAAACAAACTTTTCAAGAAATAGAGCTGCTTATTTGGACAAGGTGGCCTGTGTGACTGTGGTTCCCAATTACTGTCTATGGTTAAGCCTAAGTGTCATACATATCTTGTTAAAAATGTAGTAAACTGGGGACCAGCAGTTAGCGTAATGGCTATGTCGCTGGACTCCCACGTAGTCGACCGCAGTCCGGGTCCCGGACCCAGTGTCTTAAACTCCCGCCGGGCACGCGTGCGTGCCCAAGATCCCGAGAGGAGAATGGAGAGGAGATTGCAGCGTGGCCATCCCCTCTGGAGGGTGATTTCTCGCTTTCTGTCTGTCTCTCTCTGTCTGGCGAGCGCACACGCCCTATAGCAAAAAAAAACCTCTCCAAAAAAACTGTACACCCTTCATTTTGCAAATCTTTATTAAATACTCTGTACAGGTGCATGCAGAATATGAAAAAAAGAATTAAATCTGTTCCCTGTCAGTTGTCAAAGCAGTGCTTCTTACATTATAATGTCTTTTTTTTTTTTTTTTTGCTATAGGGCACATGCACTCTCCAGACAGACAGACAGAAAGCGAGAAATCACCTCTCCCCCGCCCCCACTGCAATCCCTTCTCCTCCATTCTCCTCTTGGGATCTTGGGCATGTAGACCTGATTCTGTACGCCAAGGGTGGGGCCAGAGATCCTGCATTTTTAAGGAGCTCCCAGGTGATGCCAATACTGCTGGTCTGAGTAGCACATGCTGAATGACAGAGGTTTCTAGTAAGGAATGAGACATGCATAATTATAACACAGAATAACAATTCCAAGTAAATATCTTTAAGTTCCATTAATTATCATAAAAATCTGGTTGCCTGGGGTGGGAGGGAAGCTAAGCATACAGAAAACAAGAAATGGAAGATCATCTGCTGACAATAACATGTTTGTTGATGCGCTTGATTGAGACAATATAGTGTACTCTGGATGGAAAAATTTCATTTTGTATGTTGTAACGATGTACAGTGAATGAACGGAAATAAATTGGAAAAAAAATCTGGTTGCCTCCCAATCCAAGCACTCTTTGCCCTTTTTATACCTTTAGAATTCCTTCTGATGTGTTTGTTGTTGCTGTTTTTTGAATTTTATCTTCATTTCTTAAGTTTTGTCTCCTGAGGCTACTCACTGCAGATGCTGTTTCTAAGCCTAAAAAGAGCCGTCTCCTTTTCCTGAAGACTAGTCCTTCACTAATTTGTCAGGTCTAGCTCCTCATCGCTCCTCTTCCCTGGGACAGAAGTCGGGTGGGCTGACTGCTCTGTCATTGTCGCTCCCCACAACGCAGAATATTAGCTTCCAGCAATTACCACTACTTCCTACTGCCTCGAGTTGGAAGTCCCCCTAGGAACCCGCACTCCAGGTCCCTGTTAACAAAGACGCTGCCTAGAAAATGTTTTGGCGCACCTGATGCTCGATGAGGAGAACGAGAAGAAACTCGCGCCGCGGCTCCCGGCGCAGAGCACCCGAGCGCGAGGGGGTGGTGCAGCAGCGTCTCCGAAGGAACAGCCCCAACCCCCCGCTGCACAGACGACGGGCGCGGTCTCGGCAGGCGAGGGCGGGCGTGCGGGGCGTGCGGGGCGCCCTCGCCTGGCGCTGCGGGCTCGCGCTGCTGCCCACCATCGAGGCGGCGGCGGCTAGA